ACTATCAAAACGCCTGCCATTTGATATAAATAAATAAAGAAAGACGAATAAGTCAGGCTTTGGTTATATGAATGATTGTCAAAATAGTCAGTCTACTGCAGCATTTCAAAGAGGATTTTAAATTGAAGCCATAAAACTATCAGTGGAGTGATTGAAAAGTCCATCTCTTCAAATACTGCAATACGTCAACATGTTCAAATGCCTTCCGATAAAACTCCGAAAGCAGTTGTTTGACAGCTGAAATGTGGGAATGAAATGTGCGCTTGAATCGATGATAAAAATACAAGATTGCTATCTTTAATTTGTTGTTCGAGCGAAATAAGAAGAAACGGTAGTTTTTAAATAAACCTCAGAAAATGTAGGGTTTTCTCGTGTTTCGTTTTATGAAAAAAAGACAGATTATTGCTTAAGTTAGTTGATCTTGAAAATGGACTGTTATCCATCAGCCAATTTGTATTTGATTGATAATATGCATTAGAAAATATAGGCTGAATTTGTTGAGTTATCAGCGTGCAAAAATGTTATGCAACTGGGTTCATTCAAGTTCAAAGTTGGTGAAGGGCCATATAAGACATAGGTTAGGATTTGCACAAAAGTCCTGTTATGAAACTCGTAACTAGAGGATGAATATTTGCAAACATACGGTTTAAAAATGCTTGCGAATGATTAAGTAAGTTAAGACTGCCAAATAGAGCCATTTATGGGACTCAGAAACGTTAAAGCCATTATTTAGTCGAATTTTACATATATTTGGTATCTACTCATGAAAGTACGCGCGCAATTGTAAATCTTTATCGATTGCGAGGTCGTCATTAGCGTTCATTTTAAAGTCATTATATAAACACACTGCTGGAAATTGGTGTCCTATCAGACTAATTTGGCTCTTTTAAATCCAATGCCTAAAAGTCATTGACGTCAATCTTTCCTGGTTCACTTCCGCGTTCAAATAAGACAAAATTGACAGAAGCAATGAACGAAACATTCTTCCACAAATATTGGCTTACATTTGTTTCTGGAGGTGATCGAATGTCGAAGACAGCTTCTAGAGGTAGTTGGCGTTCCTCATAATTGATATATTCCAATCTACGAGTAAGAAATCCACTTCGCATTGTCCATTGCTCATCTTCACTCAATTGAATCACACTCAACCGACCTTTGAAGAGATTTTACAATATATCATAAATACCACAAAATCCCAAGTGGCAGCAAATTTTGACTTCTGGGAAAAGTCATCGCGAATATAAAATTATCGCAAAGTAAGAAACTCACGTAATATCTTTGATTGAAATTCTAAAAGAAGGTAAAATAATGTTTCATATATAAATTTTGAATACACTTATTGTTCTATACATACACGTAAAAAAGTTAACAATTATATGCAAATGATAGTTTTTAACAATTTTCATAATTTGGAGTTGATTATGAGTTAGCAATAAATTTCAGTTCATTGGGATGTGAAAGTTGAATTTCTAAATAAGTTCCCAGTTCCATATTGTAGGAATAATTGAGTAATCGAAAATCTCGTTATCCAGATATATTATAAACTACTTTTGTGATACAGAGATTAGAATACGGATGATTTTACTTTTGACTTGGATATCAAGTTTACAATTAACGTAATCCACTTAAATGCATGGAAACTCTGGTATTCTGTGTCTTAGAGGGTAGTGCTCAATATGTCACAATAACTTAGAACATTCTCGAGCTTATGCATCAATGTCCAGACGCATTTTAGTTAACCTTATTGATTTGGAGAATAAGAATAATTGGAACACAATGGCCGTCTCGTTTATAAGAACTGATGAACTCATTTACATCTTTGGTTGCTAGATCTACTGATAACAAAAAAATGATTAAATTAATGCATTTGAGGCTGTGAGAAAGAAAGGCTGAAGAATTATTTGCGTACAATATTTCACAAATATTGTTTGCGGCAGCGACAAGTCTCGTTTGGCATTCCTTCAGCAATATACAAATCATTAATACAATATTCAACCGATCAAACAAGATATATGTATGTTAAAATTGCTTTAAAGTAAGGGAATTTTTGCTTACCTTCATACTCATCTTGAATATTTTCTGGAACAAAAAGGAGAACAAATATGATGTTGTAAAATTTGAAATTTGTAAAAAAACAATATGCATTAGAGCTGGGTAAACTTTTATAGTTGATAGTAAATTGCCTGTCGAGCGGAAAATGAATTTTAGGTACTTTTATCTCAACGGCGCAATCAAACGTTCTCGCTCCGCTCATTAATCACCTGCTTAATTGTCACCTTGATCCCCTCTATGTGTGTGTGTGTGTGTGTGTGTGTGTGTGTGTGTGTGTGTGTGTGTGTGTGTGTGTGTG